CCACGCACGCACGCCACATATAACACACCCACAAGATAACAAGCACGACGCGATCTTAACTAGTGTCTAGTTCTCATCGTGCGACGGGTCATTACCCCGCCCTGCCCCTCTCCCCTACCCCAGCCATCCAGCCAGCCAAACACCCATCCATTCACCACGAGGCTTGCAGGCTGGCAGGCAGGGCAGGCAGGGGAAGGAGGCCGCGGGAAGGAAGGCAGGCAGGCACGCAGGCAGGCAGAAGCAGGCAGGCCAGGCCATCAGGCAGGAACGGATACGGCAGACAGGCAGGCAGCGAGGTCAGGCAGACAGGCGGCAGGAAGCAGTGCACGCGGGAACTGAAGGCAGGCAGGCACGCAGGCGCAGCAAGCAGGCAGGCAGGCAGCAGCAGGCAGGCACGCGGGAATGAAGGCAGGCAGGCACGCAGGCCAGGCAAGCAGGCAGGCAGGCATGCCACGGCAGGAAGGTAGGCAGACAGGCCAGGCAGACGAGGCCAGGCAGGCAGGCAAGACAGGCATGCATGCAGCGCAGGCAGGCCACACAGGGCAGGCAGCAGGCAGGCAAGTAGGTATGAGGCAGGCAGAGGCACACAGGGTAGGAGGCAGCCACACAAGCACGGTAGGCCAGTGCAGGCAGGGCAGGAGGCAGGCTTGACAGACAGGCCAAGCAAGGCAGGCAGCAGGCAGGCATGCAGGAGGCGCACGCAAGCACGCACGCCACGCACGACCACGCACGCACGCAGCACGCACGCACGCACTGCAGGCAGGCAAGTTATACTGTACTGCAGGCTGGCAGACAGGCAAGCAGGCAGGCAGGTCAGGCAGGTTATGTAGCAGTTCATCTCTCTATTATTTCACTCAGTGGATGTGAACTCAGTACGTGTCTTGTGTGTTTCGCTTAATCGTACAGTGACCTGTAATAACCTGCTTATATACACGCGAACGCCAGGATAATCCACGCACATACAAACACACGCGAGCACGCATGCACGCAACGCACGCACGCACACATGCACACACACACACACACACAACACCACACACCACACCGCACACGCACCGCGCTAACGCGCGGCGCGCACACACACACGCACACCACACACTACGTAACACACGCACACACACACACATCACACAACACACACACACGCACACACACAACACACACACACACACACACGCACACATTACCCACCCACTCACGCACACGCACGCAATCACCCTGTGGAAAGAACTACAGCGCTTCACTCTGCGCGTGTGCACCTGGGCACATACCACCACGCCGGATTCATGCAGGGCAGGTAGGCAGCGTATAGCAGTTGCGGGCGGCGCGTGTGATCCGTGCGTTAGGCGCTCAACGCACCTAACCGCAGGCGTCGCGCTTCCTACCTGTTTCTCTCTTCTCTCCTGCCAGTAACAGTCGCTACGTCGTGTCAGTGTACCGTGGAGGAAGCAACGCGCAGCCTCCCCTCTCCTCTCATCCTCATCGTCTGTCATTACACCGGTCGGTAAGTAACATCACGCATATATGGTTTATATTAATATTTCGTTACCTCCTGGCAAAGGAGGTCATGTTAAATCGGTCGTGTGTGTGTGTTTCGCGTGTGTGTGTAGCGTATGGCGCGAATCGATTCAACAGCAGCTCCCTTTAGGGCGTTCCATCAGCAGCAGCTCGCCTTAGCGGTGTATAGTAGCAGCAGGCAGCAGCGAGCCAGGCGCTTATCACATACATGTTACACGCCCGCGAGGTATGCACTGCTCCGTGAGTTGCCCTCTGTCTAGTTTGTTTAGTGTGTGTGTGTGTGTGTTGTGTGTGGTTGTGTGTGTGTCTCACTCTCGGCTCTCGCTCTATCCTCCCATCCCTCCCTCCCTCCCTCCCTCCCTCCCTCCCCCTTCTTCTTTCTCTCTCTCTGTGCGCGCGTGATTTTGTGTGTTGTGGTGTGTGTGTGTGTGCGTGTGTGTGTGTGTGTGGTGTGTGTATGTGTTGTGTGTGTGTGTGTGGCCATGGTGTCGTGCTGTGTGTGGGTGTCGGGTGCTCGATTCGCTGTGTGCTGTGTGCTTGTCGTGTGTGATGTTCTCCGTGTGTGTGGTGATGTGTGTTGTGCTGTGTGTGTGGCTGTGTTGTGTAAGGGTGTGTGTGTTGTGATGTGTGTGTGGTTGTGTGTGTGATGTCTTACTTCGCACTCTAGCTCTCTCTCCCTTCCTCCCTCCCCCCCTCTCTCTTTCTCTCTCTCTGTGCGTGTGTGTGTGTGTGTGTGTGTCTTCACTTCGCTCTCTAGCTATTCTCCCTTCTCCCTCCTCCCCTCTCTCTTCTTTCTCTCTCTTTGTTGCCGTGTTTGTGTGTGTTGTGTGTGTGTGTTGTGTCGTGTGTGTGTGTGTGGTGCTTATGTGTGCTGTGTGTGTGTGTGTGTGTGTGTGTGTGTGTGTGCGTGTGTGTTTGTATGTATACTATATAATATATTATATTTATTATTTATATATTATATATATTTATTATATATATATTTATATAATATATATATATATATATATATATATAATATATATATCAAGAGTAATAATACCTTATATGTGACCCCGCTCCGCATAATACGGACTAAGTCGCCCGTTATTGTTTTGAGCTCTCGAGCACGCACACATTGTCATGCCTGGAAAATGCCCTACGCTGGACAATATTTGTATTTTACAAAAATACAAGTTCCTGAAGGTGCAATTTAAATCCGGATGATGATAGGTTCAGTATGCTCTAGATTATTATGTCATTTTAATTTTTTTAAAAATTTGAAGGCGCCGTTGCCGCTCATCTCCGACTGGGCCCCTTACCAGGACGCTTTATCTCATAAGCTGCATATTCCGGATAAGTCGGTTTCCGATCTCAAATGTTGCTGTCGTAGATCGGTCAATTGATTTAGTATAGCCAAATATTATTAGTATCATTTTAAAGGTAATTAAATGATCTAATTCAGTATTAATATCTTGGCGTTCCGAAGCTGGGCAAGCGTCGGATCAAATAACGATATGAGAGCGAAAACGAGCAGCGGAAAGAGAGAGAGACAAGACAAGAAAGAGAGAGAAGTGAGAAGGGAGAGAGAGGAAGAGAGAGGAGAGATAGATAGATAGATAGATAGTAGATTAGATAGATAGATAGGTATAGAGACGATAGATAGATAGATAGATAGATGATAGATAGATAGATAGAAAAGAGAGAGAGAGAGAGAGAGAGAGAGAGAGAGAGAGAGAGAGAGAGAGAGATAGAGGGAGATGGAGATAGTGCATGTGCGCGTGCGTGCGTTTGTGCGTGCGCGTCTGTGAGCGAGTGTGTTCATGTATAGGTGTTACTCTCTCATACTAAGCTCTCTCTTTCTCACACTTGCAGACCAGAGCCGTATATAGAGACCACCTCTCAACACACGCTAAGCACTCTCGCACGGACACGCCGAGACCTACCAGCATCGTCATCGTCATCGTCACCACCGTCGCCGCGCGATGCCGACGTACACGAGCGTGATGAGGGCGTGGCGAGCGCACCCGTCGCTCGCGCTGTGCGCATGCGTAGTCACGATCTTCAGCGTATACATGATTGCCTCGTCGTTGAGGAGTCCTGACGTCACAGCTCGGAGATACGCCCGAGACGTGGCGCAGCAGCAGGCACCGAGGAAGGAGCAGCAGCAGCAGCAACAGCAGCAACAGCAGCAACAGCAGCAGCAACAGCAGCAGCAGCAGCAGCAGCAGCAACAGCAGCAACAGCAGCAGCAGCAGCAGCAACAGCAGCAGCAGCAACATCAGCAGCAGCAGCAGCAACATCAGCAGCAGCAGCAGCAACAGCAGCAACTGCAGAGGAGCCGTAGGGAGAGAGGAGAGAGGCACAACCCGTTCGAATCCGCCCGCAGACGTGACGACAACGATGACGATACCGCCCGCAGACGTGACGACAACGATGACGATAGCGCCCGCAGGCGTGACGACAACGATGACGATACCGCTCGCAGACGTGACTACAACGATGACGATACCGCCGAGATCAAAGTTACTCCAGCTATAGGCGACAGCGCGGACGACGATGACGACAGCGATACCAAGGCGATGTCCAACCCTGGCGGCAGCATATCAAACTACGGCTCTGTGGCCGAAGCAGCACGTGACCACACGTCGCCTAGCAACGAGATAGACGCCTATCCGGGCATAAAGTACGCGCATCAAACTAGGCGAGGTTACAACGATCACCACCAGGCGGCAGCACATTCGGCGTACTCCGATCATCTCGCCTCCAATCAGCAATACGAACAGCGGCGTTACCATGACAACGAGAGGCCGCCCATGCGGCAGGACGTGCACGCAGCCGCCTTTAGACGTGAGCCTCTTCCCGACAGCTATAGCATCCGCTCGCTGCCGCCAGGGAACGGGTACGGTCGTGGGGTACCTTCAGCAGGCGACCACCTCGGCAGCTACCCGCGGAAACAACCTGTGTACACCCACGACGTTGCCATACATGGCGCCCCCTATCGGGGTTCTGACGAAGCATACAACGATGACGTTGGTGATAGTTACTACAGGCAGGGTGATTCGCAGGAGCAAGCAGCGTACAGCCGCGGGCAAGCCGAACTGACAGGCTGGCAGCAGCAGCAACAACAGCAGCAGCAAAAACAACAGCAACTACTGCAACTACTGAAACAACAGCATGAACAACAACAACAACAACAACAACAACTGCCGCAACAACAGTGGCATCAGCAACATCAACAGCAGCAGGAGCAGCAGCAACAGCAAAACTACCGTCAACAGCAGCAACATCATCCACAACAACAGCAGCAACATCGGGAGGACTACCTCGACCAAAACCCGCAGCAGCAACATCAGCAACACCAACATCAGCAACATCACCAGCAGCTGCCGCAACAGCAACAACAGCAGCAAGGGGAAGAGTTACACCCGAAATATCCCCATCAGTTGAGCCAGCAACAACAATACCATCAGCAGCAGCAATACCAACACCATCAACAGCAACAATACCAACACCAGCAGCAACAGCAGCAGCAGCAGCAACACGAGGAGAATGATGAGGAGGAGGTGAAAGAGGAGAAGGAGGAGGAGAAGAAGAATGTTGGGGCACGTCCCCCGGTGTCCAGCGATACGGACAGGACCATAGGTAACCCGGCCGCACAGCATGGCGCCCGCCCACCTCACAACACTGTAGTTTAACACACAGCCACGCCAAGTCCACCGCCGCGTGGCGCCACATCACCGCTGATGACGTCACCGCACGGCGAGCTGACGATGACGTAACAGATGCCGAGATTCGTAGCAATCACGTGACAGCGCGACAACCAGCCACGTCACAGACACACGCGCACACGCGCACGCGCGTCACATGAAGCAGACATATTAATGATCTGTCGCTGTCTTACTTCCTCGTCTTGTTCTTGTTCTTGTTCTTGTTCTTGTTCTTCTCGTTCGTCGTCTTCTTCTTCTTCTTCTTCTTCTACGCACGCACGCACGCCACACCGCGCGCGCGCACACACACACGCACTGCACATGCACACGCACGCACGCCCCACCGCACGACACACACACTCACACTTACACACACACGTACACATACTACACACACACACACACACGCACGCCACCCTACGCACGCAACAACGCACATACAACACACGTACAGCATACATACACACACACACGCACGCACGCACGGCACCGCACGCACACACACGCACATACACACACACGTACACATACATACACACACCACACACACACACACACACACACACACGGCACGCACCGCACGCACGTACGCCGCACGCACGCACACACACGCACATACACACACACGTACACAACATCCACACACCACACACACACCACACACACACACACACGCACGCACGCACGCACACCACACGCACCATACCACACACACGTACACATTACATACACACACACACACACGACGCACGCACGCACGCACGCCCACGCACACACCACGACATCACACCACACGTACACCATACATACATACACCCAGCACACACAACACACACGCACGCACGCACGCACGCCGTACGCACGCCCACGCACGACACGCACAGCATATAACACACCCACAAGATACAAGTCACGACCGCATCTAACTAGTGTCTAGTTCTCATCGTTGCGAACGGGTCATTACCCCGCCCTGCCCCTCTCCCCTACCCCAGCCATCCAGCCAGCCAAACCACCCATTCATTCAGCCACGAAGGCATTGCAGGCTGGCAGGCAGGCAGGCCAGCGGGAAGGCAGGCCGCGGGAAGGAGGCAGGCAGGCACGCGGCAGGCAAGCAGGCAGGCAGGCATCAGGCCAGGACGGTACGGCAGACAGGCAGGCAGCGAAGGTCAGGCAGACAGGCCGGCAGGAAGCAGTGCACGCGGGAATGAAGGCAGGCAGGCCACGCAGCGCAGCAAGCAAGGCAGGCAGGCACGCAGCAGGAGGCACGCGGAATGAAGGCAGGCAGGCACGGCAGGCCAGGCAAGCAGGCAGGCAGGCATGCCACGGCAGGAAGGTAGGCAGAAGGCACAGGCAGACAGCCAGGCAGGCAGGAAGACAGGCATGCATGCAGCGCAGGCAGGCCACACAGGGCAGGCAGCAGGCAGGCAAGTAGGTATGCAGGCAGCAGGAGGGCACACAGGGTAGGCAGGCAGCACACAAGCACGGTAGGCAGGCAGGCAGGCAGGCCAGGCAGGCTTGACAGACAGGCCAAGCAAGCAGGGCAGCAGGCAGGCATGCAGGCAGGGCACGCAGGCCACGCACGCCACGCACGACCACGCACGCACGCACGCACGCGCACGCACGCACGCAGCAGGCCAAGTTATACGTACTGCAGGCTGGCAGAACAGGCAAGCAGGCAGGGCAGTCAGGCAGGTATGTAGGCAGTCAGTCTCTCTATTATTCACTCAGTGATGTGAACTCAGTACGTTGTCTTGTGTTGTTTCGCTTAATCGTACAGTGACCTGTTATAACTGCTTAATACACGCGAACGCCAGGATAATCCACGCCACATACAAACACACGCGAGCACGCATGCACGCACGCACGCACGCACACACACACACACACACACACACACACGCACACACACACACACCACACGCACCGCGCTAACGCGCGCGCGCACACACACAACGCACACACACACACGTAACACACCGACACACACACCACATCACACAACACACACACACGCACACACACACACACACACACACACACACGCACACTTACCCACCCACTCACGCACACGCACCAATCACCCTGTGGAAAAAGAACTACAGCGCGTATACACTCTGCGCGTAGTGCACCTGGCCACATACCACCACGCGGATTCATGCAGGCCAGGTAGCAGCGTATAGCAGTTGCGGGGCGGCGCGATGTGATTCCGTCGCTGTTAGGGGTCTCAACGCACCTAACCGCAGGCCGTCGCGCTTCCTTACCGTTTCTCCCTCCTCTTCCTGCCAGTAACAGTCCGCTACGTCGTGTCGTGTTACCGTGGAGGAAGCACGCGCAGCCTCCCCTCTCCTCTCAAATCCTCATCGTCTGTCATACACCGCGGTAAGTAACATCACGCATATTAAGTGGTTTATATTATATATTTGTTACCTCCTGGCAAGGACGTCATGTTAATATCGGTCTCGTGTGTGTGTTCGCGTGTGTGTGTAGCGTATGGCGCCGATCCGATTCAACAGCCACTCGCCTTTTAGGGCGTTCCACGTCCAGCAAGCAGCTCGCCTTAGGGTGGTATAGTCAGCAGCAGCCAGCAGCGAGCCAGCGCTTATCACATACATGTTACACGCCTCGCGAGGCTATGCACGCTCCGTGAGTGCCCCGTGTCTAGTTTGTTTAGTGTGTGTGTGTGGTGCGTTCGTGTGTGGTGTGTGTGTGTGTGCTGCACTCTCGGCTCTCGCTCATCTCCCATCCCTCCCTCCCCTCCCTCCCTCCCTCCCTCCCCTTCTCTCTTTCTCTCTCTCTGTGCCCGTGTAGTTTTTGGTGTTGTGGTGTGTGTGTGTGTGCGTGTGTGTGTGTGTGTGTGTGTGTGTTATGTGTGTGTGTGTATTGTGTGTGTGCGCCATGTGGGTGTGCGTGCGGTGTGTGGTGTGGTGTGGTCGTGTGGTGTGCCTCGATTTCGACTCTGTGTGCCCTTGTGTGGCTTGTCGTGGTATGTTCCTGCCGTGTGTGTGTATGTGTGTTTGTGTGTGTGTGTGGCATGCTGTGTATGTGTGTGTGATGTCGTGTTGTGTGTGTGTGTCTTACTTCGCACTCTAGCTCTCTCTGCCCTTTCTCCCTCCCCCCTCTCGTCTTTCTCTCTCTCTTGTGCGTGTGTTCCTGTGTGTGTGTGTGTCTCACTCTCGCTCTCTAGCTTTCTCCCTTCTCCCTCCTCCCCTCTCTCTTCTTTCTCTCTCTTTGTTGCCGTGTTTGTGTGTGTTGTGTGTGTGTGTTGTGTCGTGTGTGTGTGTGTGGTGCTTATGTGTGCTGTGTGTGTGTGTGTGTGTGTGTGTGTGTGTGTGCGTGTGTGTTTGTATGTATACTATATAATATATTATATTTATTATTTATATATTATATATATTTATTATATATATATTTATATAATATATATATATATATATATATATATAATATATATATCAAGAGTAATAATACCTTATATGTGACCCCGCTCCGCATAATACGGACTAAGTCGCCCGTTATTGTTTTGAGCTCTCGAGCACGCACACATTGTCATGCCTGGAAAATGCCCTACGCTGGACAATATTTGTATTTTACAAAAATACAAGTTCCTGAAGGTGCAATTTAAATCCGGATGATGATAGGTTCAGTATGCTCTAGATTATTATGTCATTTTAATTTTTTTAAAAATTTGAAGGCGCCGTTGCCGCTCATCTCCGACTGGGCCCCTTACCAGGACGCTTTATCTCATAAGCTGCATATTCCGGATAAGTCGGTTTCCGATCTCAAATGTTGCTGTCGTAGATCGGTCAATTGATTTAGTATAGCCAAATATTATTAGTATCATTTTAAAGGTAATTAAATGATCTAATTCAGTATTAATATCTTGGCGTTCCGAAGCTGGGCAAGCGTCGGATCAAATAACGATATGAGAGCGAAAACGAGCAGCGGAAAGAGAGAGAGACAAGACAAGAAAGAGAGAGAAGTGAGAAGGGAGAGAGAGGAAGAGAGAGGAGAGATAGATAGATAGATAGATAGTAGATTAGATAGATAGATAGGTATAGAGACGATAGATAGATAGATAGATAGATGATAGATAGATAGATAGAAACACACACACACACACACACACACACACACACGCACGCACGCACGCTCACACACACACACACACACACACACACACACACACACACACACATACACACGTAGTCATCACGGTAGTGTTTCATCTATCAAATATCGCACTAGTGTCACGCCTAGGCGAGTAACTCGGAAATTACTACATTTGTCGACCAGGTGACGCTGCGTACAAGGTGCTGGCGTTAGCACACGTCGTCATTTCCGGTGTTGGTGATGGTGAACAGCGGATATCCGCCTCACAGAACAATGCTTCCACATCAAACATGGCCGCCGATGCTGCTGCGCCGAAAACACGCACTGTTACGTCCCAGCCGGCGCCCTCTAGCGGAGATATCTGGGTGAAAGCGCTCAACGCGGATGCAGGAATGTCATCGCCCCCTGGCGGCAGCACAATTCCGGATGTTAACGCCGGACATCCTGTGCCTAACATCGTGCACTTTGTGCGCTTCAACGAGCCGGAAGTGACGTTCGTGCAGATGCTGTGCATGCAGGCGGCGCTGCAGTACATCCGGCCCGACCGTCTGTACGTGCACACCGACCGGCCACCTAGCGGCCGTTACTGGAACATGATTCGAGAAAACCCGGCCGTCGTCGTGCGTCACGTGACCCGACCACGACGCGCGCACGGCCGCAAGTTGAGCGCCGAGAATGCTCTCTTGTTCGTCCGCGTGGCGGCGCTGCGGGAGCACGGCGGCATCTCGCTCGCGGACGACATTCTCGTCGTCAACTCTCTCGACGCGTACCGGAAGTACGAGTTCACGCTCGGCTGGCCGGAAGGACGCTACGTCAGCACGAGCGTTCTCATGGCAACGCGCGACGCCGCCTTCCTGCGCGTGCTCGAGGCCGCCTTCACGCTCGGCGACGAGGTGACGTCACACCTACGTCAGCAGCTGACGACGCGCGTGCTGTGGCTGCGGCCGGATCTCGTGCATGGCGTGCCGACGCGTCTAGGCGTGCACAACGTCTGCTATGATGTCTTCTACGGCCCGCTAGACTGGCAGGACTACGACGCCGTAGACCTGATGTACGCGCATCGTTACTATCTGACGCCAGAAGATCCGATCCAGCAGCACGACGAGAACAACATCAAACACCTGGCGACACCTTTCGGCGAAATAGCGAGGCTTTTGTATTACGGAACACGAGATGTAATAAAATGAGATTTTATTTATATTTAATCTCTTATAATGAGTAAGAGTGCGGTACAATATATAGAGTAAGAGGCGCTGTAAGTGTAATATATATATATATATATATATATAATATATATATATATATATATTTATTTATTTATTTATGGCGGGTACTGGAGGATACTAAAGTTTGTTATATTAACCCTAAAAAAGTGGTTAAACCGAAAAAAATTATTGTTAAATAAAATGTTACAGAAATATTTTTTCTCTCATCTTTCCTTCGCATACGATCATCTATCAGTGAATACTTCTGCTATTTGTTCTCAGTATATAATGACTTAGTAACAACCTCCTTCTCGTTAACTCTCCCATAATCGTTAGTTTTATCGTTAGCTGTTCTCGGAAGTTCTTCTAGAATAGTTCCTACGTTAGTCTGCACACTTCTACACGTAATTAACAAGACATGATTAATGATGATGACAGACTCTCATTATCTCCATCGTTATAAACCTCAACATACGTACGTTGTTAACGACCGATTTGTTATGCTTCATCAATGACGTCATCCACTATTAGCACATGTAATTAACTTCATCATTAAACACTTGTCATTAACTCATAATTAAACACTTTGTCATTATCTTCATAATAAACACTTGTCATTAACTTCATAATTTAACACTTCTCATTAACTTCAATTACATTAACACCTTCCAGTACTTCATAATTAACACTGTTCCATTAACTTCATATTAACACTTGTCATTAACATTCATACTAAACACTTCTCATTATCTTCCATAATAAAAACACTTGTCAATTTTTGTTTATATCTTTTTCATAATTAACACTTGCCATTTAAACTTCATACTTGTCATTATCTTCATAATTAACACTTCTCATTATCTTCATAATTAACACTTGTCATTATCTTCATAATTAACACTTGTCATTAACTTCATAATTAACACTTCTCATTATCTTCATAATTAACACTTGTCATTATCTTCATAATTAACACTTCTCATTATCTTCATAATTAACACTTGTCATTATCTTCATAATTAACACTTGTCATTAACTTCATAATTAACACTTGCCATTATCTTCATAATTAACACTTGTTATTAACTTCATAATTAACACTTCTCATTATCTTCATAATTAACACTTGTCATTATCTTCATAATTAACACTTCTCATTATCTTCATAATTAACACTTGCCATTATCTTCATAATTAACACTTGTTATTAACTTCATAATTAACACTTCTCATTATCTTCATAATTAACACTTGTCATTATCTTCATAATTAACACTTCTCATTATCTTCATAATTAACACTTGTCATTATCTTCATAATTAACACTTCTCATTATCTTCATAATTAACACTTGTCATTATCTTCATAATTAACACTTCTCATTATCTTCATAATTAACACTTGTCATTATCTTCATAATTAACACTTGTCATTAACTTCATAATTAACACTTGTCATTATCTTCATTATTAACACTTGTCATTATCTTCATAATTAACACTTGTCATTATCTTCATAATTAACACTTGTCATTATCTTCATAATTAACAATTGTCATTATCTTCATAATTAACATTTGTCATTATCTTCATAATTAACACTTGTCATTATCTTCATAATTAACACTTGCCATTATCTCCAAATTAACACTTGTCATTATCTTCATAATTAACACTTGTCATTATCTTCATAATTAACACTTGTCATTAACTTCATAATTAACACTTGTCATTATCTTCATAATTAACAATTGGCATTATCTTCATAATTAACACTTGCCATTATCTTCATAATTAACACTTGCCATTATCTTCATAATTAACACTTGTCATTATCTTCATAATTAACACTTGTCATTATCTTCATAATTAACACTTGTCATTATCTTCATAATTAACACTTGTCATTACCTTCATAATTAACACTTGTCATTATCTTCATAATTAACACTTGCCATTATCTTCATAATTAACACTTG